TGACTCAGCCTTCTATCCTTCCGAGGTCGGTAAAATGAGTACCCAGCTTGCTGGGGGGGGGAGGGCAATGTGTAGCCTGCATAATTAACTTGTAAACCGTCCAGAGAGTACTTGAAGCGCTATGGGGCGGTATATAAGCAGCATGCTTTGCTTTTAAAATATTTTCCATTAAAAATAAAATAAAATGAATGCACACATAAGCAGAATTCTTGCTGCCTGAACATCTGGGGCAGGGGGGGCAAAACAAGAAAGGTGACAGAAAGTGCAACATTCAGGCATTCTTTTTAACTTATAGTTTGATTCTCTGATTTGTAGTGATTCTGCCAAATTGGACCCTTTGTGCTTAGTTTGTTTAGAATTACTTACATTAGGTAGGCATGCATTGTGGATGGGCAGCTGAAAGGTGACTGGTTAGTGTGACTGGAATGGTATGGGAGTGTGGTCTAGGGGTCTGGTAACAGTTCTATTGAGATATGACTGTTTAGGGGGAAAGGTCAGAAAAGTATGGCAGAGAGCTGAAGGGAGCTAGAAGTCTGAGAAAGTTGCTGCCTGTGCTGGTGTTTTTGAAGACAAGTCTGTTTATAGCGGTCAGAGCGTGTGTGTAAGAAAAAAAATCAGTCTGACATAATTATTTTGAACATTAAATGCTGAAGAAATATATTTAGATCAGGAGGTTAGACTAAGTGCTAAATCTACACCAAATTCTCTATATATTCATAAGTATGTACTACTGAATTTAACGAGATAGACTCATCCATAAAAGTGCATATATATAGGGTTGCAGCCATAAATTATATTTGGTTTTAAACTTATTTTGTGTCACTTGTTTTTATTAAATGTGACAGTAATAAGGGCATTTTGCAGTTACTACAACTTTAGCCTGGCCATCAGTTTTGAAACTCTGAACAGAATCCAATTGAATATTTACATGGCTGTAAGTGCAATGGTGTAACTTGGAACAGTAAATAGCCACTTACTAAGGAATCCTCAGTTGAATTGATAGTTGACCACATATTGCATGACTCAGCATCCAACTAGGAATTCAACTGGGGACTTGTTAATTTTTATCATTGCATTTATGCTAGCATAAATATTCAATAGGACTTTGGCGATTTTCTCTCAAAGCATTAAAGGCAAACAATTGAAATGTGAGACTGGTATATTCAAGAATCTATCTTTTGATCCTGATACATGTGCAAAGGGAGAAAATATATAAAGCACTAGATTTACAGCACAATCCTAATGATGTCTATTCCAAAGCAAACACCACCAGAGTGTTCTCCAAAGCAGAACCTATTTTCATAGAAGCAGGTATAGAATCCCTGCCTTAATCAGTGAATGTACATTCACAGAGATTGCAGAAAGATTACAGCAGAAATTCCCCATAATTTCAGATTAACTGATCATAAATTGTTATATTGTTTCCCCGACAAATTCTAACAAATAACTTTACTTATGATGACCATAGCCATAATTTTGCTGAAATAAGAGTGTTCACAGAAAAACTTTCTAGGATAATTTGTACTAAATAAGTCCTTTAAAACCCAATTATTCAGACTGCCTTGCACAATGTACTGGCCAATATTTTTAACCATTTGTAAATTTCTTGGGTGTCTGTCTGGGCTGCAATATAGTGGGGTCTTGACTTGAGAACTTAATCCGTATTGGAAGGCGGTTCTCAAGTCAAAAAGTTCTCAGGTCAAATCTGCATTTCCCATAGGAATGCATTGAGAACCATTTGATCCGTATCTGCTCTTTTCCGTCCATAGAAACTAATGGGAAGCTGCTATTCCGCCTTCGACCACTAGAGGGGGATATTTTTTTCTTTTTTTCTTAGGTCAAGAAAGGTTCAGGGAAGGCAGGGAAAATACAGTCCAGGCAGTCCAGTACCAGGCAGTCCGAAGACTGTCTCCCAATCCACTCTCTAAATGCTGGGAGGAGTGAGGAAGCAGACAGGCACCCTTTTCACTGGCCAACAGTTAACTGAAAGTTCAAATTTTGCACTTTCCCTGCCTCCCACGTGGGTTTTTTTCAGTTTGTAACTCAAATCTAAGTATGTAAATCAAGTCAATATTTTCCTATGAGAGTGGTTTGTAAGTCAAAATGTTCTTAACTCGGGCCGTTCTTAAGTCAAGACCCCACTGTACCTGATTCTATAGAGAAGTTATTCATTCATTCATTCATTCATTCATTCATTCATTCATTCATTCATTCATTCATTCATTCATTCACTTACTTACTTACTTACTTAGATTTTAATTCCGCCCTTCTAGACACATATCTACTCAGGGCGGCTCACAATAAATTATTCATAAAAACAATTAAAACAACAATTTACATTGACAATATTAATCAAGATGGAGAATATGAAACAAAAAAATTAAGTAAAGTAAAAGTCAAGTACATCCCCTGGACTGCAATGAGAACAAACCTATCAGTTCTAAAGGAAATCAACCCTGAATGCTCACTTGAAGGACAGATCCTGAAGCTGAGGCTCCAGTACTTTGGCCATCTCATGAGAAGAAAAGAGTCCTTGGAAAAAACCTTGATGTTAGGAAGGTGTGATGGCAAGAGGAGAAGGGGACGACCGAGGATGAGATGGCTGGACAGTGTCTGCGAAGCAACCAACATGAACCTGACACAACTCCGGGAGGCAGTAGAAGACAGGAGGGCCTGGCGTGCTCTGGTCCATGGGGTCACGAAGAGTCGGACATGACTAAACGACTAAACACACACACAGTGGTGCCCCGCTTGACGTCGATAATCTGTTCTAGGAAAATCACTGTTAAGCTAAATCATCGTCAAGCGGAAAAAACCCCATTGGAATGCATTGAAAACCGGTTAATGCGTTCCAATGTGGAAATACCTCATCGTCCAGCGAAGATTGCCCATACAGAACCGCTGTTTAAAATCGCTGTCTTCCGAAGCAAGGGTCCGGAAAACAGCCATTTTGCGAAGGGAGGGAAGCCATTTTGCGAAGGGAAGCCATTTTGCGGAGCCGGAAAAAAATCATTTTGCGAACTATCGGTTCACGAAGCAGGGACCTAATCAACGTAAAGCGAAAAAAACCCATAGGAACCATCGTTTTGCGATCAGAATAGCTATAGCAAAAAATCATCATCAAGTGATTTTGTCATCAAGCGGGGTCGTTGTCAAGCGGGGCACCACTGTATCGACAGGAGGGAAGACCTGCCTAAAGAGTCAAGTCTTTAAATGGCTATTAAAAACACCCAGCGAGGGTGCCAGGCAGATCTCTGATGGCAACCTATTCCAAAGTCGAGTGGCCACTGCCGAGAAAGCCCGATTTCTTGTTCTTTCTTTCCGGGCCTCTCTCGGCGTTAGGCTCCTCAGCCATCTTTCCTGGCTATAGCCAGTGACTTGAGTAGATCTAGGTGTTCTGCTAGGTATCGAGGTCCAAAACCGTTTAGGGCTTTATATGTCATCATTAACACTTTGAAATCAATGCAGAAATGAATGGGCAACAAATGCAAGGCAGACAGAGTGGGAGAGATATGCCATATTTTCTTGTCCCACTAAGTAGTCTGGCTGCTGCATTCTGCACCATCTGAAGTTTCCGCATCAGTCTCAAAGGTAGCCCCACGTAGAGCTCATTGCAGTGGTCTAATCTCGAGATTACAAGCGCATGGACCAGAGTGGTGAGGGCCCCACCATCAAGATAGGGATGAAGCAAGGCAGACAGAGTGGGAGAGATATGCCATATTTTCTTGTCCCACTAAGTAGTCTGGCTGCTGCATTCTGCACCATCTGAAGTTTCCGCATCAGTCTCAAAGGTAGCCCCACGTAGAGCTCATTGCAGTGGTCTAATCTCGAGATTACAAGCGCATGGACCAGAGTGGTGAGGGCCCCACCATCAAGATAGGGATGAAGCTGGGCAATCCATCACAGGTGGTAATAGGCGGAATGGACCACTGATGCCTCCTGGGTTTCCATGGTAAGCGCTGGGTCCAGATGTACTCCCAAACTGCGAACCTCCCTCTTTGCGGCAGGAGTCCCCCCCCCCCCCAAATGAGAGGGAGTTTCCCAAGCCACCGATGGAAAGGGCACCAACCCTCAGGACCTCCGTCTTGTCCAGGTTCAGCCTCAACCCATTATCCTGCATCCATTGCAGGACAGCTTCCAGGCAGCACTGAAGGGACAGAACGGCACCCACTGAAGTAGGTGAAAAGGAGATATAGAGCTGCATGTCATCAGCATACTGATGGCACAAGGCTCCACACCCCCTGATGACCTCACCCAGCGGCCTCATATAAATATTAAACATTGGGGAGATGATCAAACCCTGCAGAACCCCACAACTGAATTACCTTTTCTGATAGGAAGAACTTCCCATACACTGGCATATAAGCAAAGAAATACATACCAGGAACCCTCTTAGTTCCACTCATCTAGACTATCTCTTAGGTTCTTGCTTTAGGTAAAGATGATACCACTGCTCAAGGCAATTAACAAAAAGAGTTCATTTTCATTATAAGGGAAGTATCACTATAACTAATAGGGAATGAGGAAAAAATATTTTAACTCTATTTTAAACATACCTATACATGTTTATCAAGAAGCAACTCAGAAAGACCAACCTGTAAATGTCTTTTCAATGAGGCCAGTTTTTTAAAATGCCACTTGTACTCACCTCAATTCTTTCTTTTTGGACACCAGAGGGAGCAATAAATATCTCATTGCTGGGGAGGAAATGAGAATTTTAGTGGTAGACATAAAGCAATTATGAAGCATGTGGCTTCATTTATAGGCACAGCAGAATGTATGAGAATTGCTCCCACCAGTTCACCAGCTATACGTCAGCCATTGTACTTAACCTCTTATATCAGGCTTACCTTGGCCCAGAACACCCAGCATTAATATAGTTTAGATCAGTGGTCCTCAACCTTGGGCCTCCAGATGTTCTTGGACTTCAGCTCCCAGAAATCCTGGCCAGCAGAGGTGGTGGTGAAGGCTTCTGGGAATTGTAGTCCAATATCATCTGGAGGCCCAAGGTTGGGGACCATTGGTTTAGATGATACTACTTGCAGTTGCCCTTAATGCTTTTTATATAAAATATTTTATTTAAGATTACAAGGTACAAATTTTCAAGCACAGCAGTCATTTCAATCTGAAGAAGAATAAACATATGCTGTTGCAGGAATGTTACACCATCAGGTTAACTTAACGGAGGCTCCAGGTTGAAGCATGCGGAAGTAGAAGCAAAGCTAGCTTCAGTCAACAGGATTTATCTCCAAACAATGTGGTGAAGACTGAAGGAGCAAAAATATTTCACACACTTGTGCGGAAAAAAACTGCAGGGTCAGAGGTAATTAAGTCTCGCAACAATCGTTCATTTCAGCCATTGTACTGATATTACACTAAACTTTTCAAGTTCTTGGAATTGTGCAGAGGAGAGACATCTGGTGGTTAATTTGTCAGATAAATAAGTTTCCTAGTATACAAAGACCCAAAGGCAGTATTTTATTTCCTCTGCTTCATGTCTATATCCTTTGGATATGGAGAAGCTGTTGCTCAGCAGTAAATGCATCCTTGGCATGTCCTCCTAATGGGAAGGACCTTTCTTTGCTCTGAAAGCCATTGCCAGCCAAGAACAATTCTTTAAAATAAACCTTGGGTTTACAAAGAAGGGGTATTGTGCTTTTGTGTTCAGAAAGAGAAACTGAGCAAGGATAAAATGCCAAAAGCTGACTCCTTTTTTTCACCTCCCCATCAGTTAACCTCTTCTCATCCAAACTCAAAGCAATTGTAAGGGTTGCTTTTCAACAAGTATGAATGGTATCAAGAAGAGGGTATCCTGGAGACCATCCTGACTGCTCTCATTGGTGTTGTCAACATTCAGGCTGCTCTTTGCTGTGTAAAGCTTGGCAGCCTTTTCTCCTTTTGGCAATGCAGCCATCATCTTGGACAGCAATACCGGGACATTTCGTGGTGTTTTGAATAGTGGATACAGAAGCACAATACAGTGGTGGCCCGCATAGCGAGGTTAATCCGTTCCGGATTAACCTTCGCTATGGGGAAACATCATTAAGTGGGACGGGGAAACCCATTGGGCCCACATGGGCCCAAAACTCACCGGGCTCTGATGTTTCCCCATGTTGCGGCAGCCATTTTGGGTGTCCCGGCGGCCATTTTTAGTGTTTGGCGGCCCTTTTGGAACCGCCGAACAGCTGTTCCCCCATCGCAATGCAAGGATGTCCTCGCATTAGCGATGGGGAAATCCGCATTGATATGCGGATTCTTCGTTAAACGGTGCACTCGTTATGCGAGGCACCACTGTATTCATAAACCAGAGGTTCTTGGAAGACCTGAATTTCCTGACTTTTTAAAAACAGAAGTTTAAGAATACACACACTATGTACAAATTCCAACAGAAATGTCTCTAATGTAGAATTACCCAGTAATAGCAGACCCCAAAAGATGAGCACATGATCTGTTGATGGTTGCTGGGATAGGACGGAAGCAAGAACAGCTAGGATGTGGCTGTAATCTCTCTGTGCCAAAATATTTTGAGGAGCTGTTTTGGACTTAATGAAATGGTGAAGCAAAGGTGTGAGCAAGTGCAATACATACAATGGAGAAATGTCCTTCAATGGGAAACTAATGTTGCCATGCCCACTCCACAGAATGCAGACTAGAAAGCTACTGTATTTTCTTATTTCCAAACCCTTTCCTTAGGGAAGGCAAACTGAGGAAGAAAAGCTATATCGGATCAAAAGCTCTGTGAATACGTTGCCTGGATGTTTTCCTAAAAGATGTCCCTTGCCTTTTTTTTAGAAGAAGGGAGTGCTAGGAGAGCAGAGACTGTGCTTGGTGCAGAGTACAGTGGTGCCTCGCACAACGAGCGCCCCGTAGAGCGATGAATTCACTCTACGAGGACGTTTTTCGATCGCTAATGCGATCGCAGAGCAATGGCCTCTATGGCCGAAAATCGCACAGCGAAGGTCAGTAAGAGTTTCGCTTACCGACCTTTGCTTTGCGACCCGTCGATCAGCTGTTTGGCGGGTCCAAAATGGTCGCAGGAAGCCCCAAAATGGCCGCGTGCAGCGTTTTCGCGCCCTTGTTAAGCGAGGGGACGGCGCGAAAATGGCTGCTGGCCATTGGAAAAGCATCGCTGTACGGTGAGTAAAGCTGCTATTGGAACGCATTAAACTAAGTTTAATGCATTCCAATGGCTTTTTCCTTCCCGTACAGCGATGCTTTCACACAGCGAGGGTTAATCCGGAATGGATTAACCTCGCTGTGCGAGGCACCACTGTACCTGACAGATCATGCAGTGTTCCAAAGGGAGGTAAGAGCTATGTGCATATGCACTGTCCCTTTGCTTTTATGAAATAAGAAAAAGGAAGAGGTTGAAGTTAGCATAGAATGTCACTGGAAACCAAAGTCAAAACTCACCCATACTATGTGAACGTTTTTCGATCGCTAATGCGATCGCAGAGCGATGGCCTCTATGGCCGAAAATCGCACAGCAAAGGTCGGTAAGAGTTTCGCTTACCGACCTTTGCTTTGCGACCCGTCGATCAGCTGTTCGGCGGGTCCAAAATGGCCGCTGGAAGCCTCAAAATGGCCGCAGGAAGCCTCAAAATGGCCGCGTGCAGAGTTTTCGCGCCCTTGTTAAGCGAGGGGACGGCGCGAAAATGGCTGCCGGCCATTGGAAAAGCATCGCTGTACGGTGAGTAAAGCTGCTATTGGAACGCATTAAACTAAGTTTAATGCATTCCAATGGCTTTTTCCTTCCCGTACAGCGATGCTTTCACACAGTGAGGGTTAATCCGGAACGGATTAACCTCGCTGTGCGAGGCACCACTGTACCTGACAGATCATGCAGTGTTCCAAAGGGAGGTAAGAGCTATGTGCATATGCACTGTCCCTTTGCTTTTATGAAATAAGAAAAAGGAAGATGTTGAAGTTAGCATAGAATGTCACTGCAAACCAAAGTCAAAACTCACCCATACTATGTGAACGAATGACAGTGAAGAAAAACGTGGAACAAAAACTCATGTGAAATGTGGTGTTGTAGAAAAGCCTTAAAAATATCATAGTCAAGCCTGAATGCTCCCTATAGCAAAGATGAGCTATAGTGCTGCCTCGACTTACGACCATTTCGAGTTATGACCAACTCCGGCCACAAAATTTTGCTTCGACTTGCATCTGGAGCTTCGAGTTACAACCAGAAAAAGGAAGAAAAAAGGTGGAGAATTCAAATTGCTAAACATTGGTGGTGAAGAGGCTGCTTCTTTGTAGCTCTTTCACCCCAGCAGCTAGAGAGTGTGCGATTGGAGCAGGCTTCGGACTGTCTGTTAAGGTAAGGTGCTGCTTTCTACTTTTTAAAAACTGTTCTGGGTGGGTTTTGCAGTGTGGTTTTGGGCGGGGTGGTGGGATTTTGTTTCTATGCTGTGATGGGTCTTGTGAGGTTTGTTTGCTTTTTGCTTTGCTTTTTTTGCATTTCCGAAGGGTCTTGTATGGTTTGTTTGCTCCCCCCCCCCGCTTTGGCCAGAACGGATTAATCACGTTTCGAATGAGTCTTGCAATGGGTTTTTTTTGGTGATTTTTTTCTTCGACTGGAATGGATTAATTGTATTTGAATGCATTCCTATGGGAAATGGTGCTTCAACTTACAACCATTTTGAGTTACGACCAGAGTTCCAGAACCAATTAAGTTTGTAAGTCGAGTCACCACTGTATAGCAAAAATGGGGCTTGTTCACGCTTGATTTGATTGAGGACTCACTTGTTTCTCTTTCTGGCAATGCAGAATACCTGTAAAGATCTCCTCCAGCATCATGTTTCAAATGAATCATTGTTTTCCCTGACAGTTTTCTTAATGGTCCAACTTTCATACGCATATACAGTGGTGCCTCACACAACGATGTTAATTGGTTCCAAAAAAATCAACGTTGTGTGAAACATCGTTCTGTGAAACACCATTTCCCATAGGAATGAATTGAAAACCGGTTAATCCGTTCCAATTGGAACAGATTGC